TCTTGCTCATTTTGCTTCCGAGACACATGCAAAACGGGACGGACAACATGAAATTTTGCAATAATCTTGCACCACCCTTGCACAAAACGACGATAATTTTTCTAATTTCATAGACAACAGAAGATGAAAGTAAGGAATAATCGAAAAACAGCAATTAATATGGTACAGACATGTAAAACGTATGGGGAAGCGATGTAATGCTTAGAACGGGATTTACGTTTTTGAGCGAAATTTGGCATCAGAAATTTCGGGCAAATTTCGCAAATGTTTCCCGAAGATGTTGCATGATTTTAGAAAATCGTCAGTTGCTGGCTTATTATTGATCCTATAGAAAAGGCTACAGGGGGAAGACGAAAAATCTTAAAATGGAAGGGAAAATAACTGGAATTGTGACCGAAAATCAGAAACTGATGATGGATTTATTGTGGTTAGACCGATACATAGGCATTATATAGACAAAAAAATCCAAAAAAAATGCGCGTATTTTCGACTTTGGCGTGATTTGATGCAAATAAAAATTGAGCAAACTCAAAAAAAGTTTGCCATTGTTTTCAACTCACGCATTTACAAAAAAAAATCAGGTGCCCGAATGGGCTCAAATACAGTCCTTCTGGGACTCACTGTTTATGAGCAAGTTTCAGCTAAACCGTGCAAGATCCTTTGGTTCGTTTGGGGTTTCAGCTTCGATATCTGGAACTTTCGGGGGCAAATCCGTCATGAGCGCGCAAAATTACGTCGGGCTCCGCCAATTGCTCGCCCCCCTCCGTCATCAATTAAAAGTAATAAAGTAACGAAATCCGTACATTTGGTGGCGTGAAACTGGCTTTCGATGGTCTCCGCTCACCCCCCAAGCCCCAAACTCGGTCCTCGGATCGTTCAAACAACTGTCGTTTCTGTGTACTAAAACCGCCCGACGGCTCCTCTTCTAGAGGATATTATCGGCATCCCATAAAACGAAAGCCAACTTCGAGTCGATACTCTGTTCTCATGTACAGCCCAAATGGCGGCCGCTTAAAACCCCCCTAAGAAGCGACAAGAATTCAACAAAAAACTGCACTTTCTCTTGTTACAATGTGCGCCCAACAGCAGGAATTTCCAAATTTCGCTCGCAAACAGAACTCTATAAGCACTTTGTTCTACTTAGAGTAATCATTTTTTTGATCTGTCCTGTACAAACAAACGTTGGCAAGGCGAAACCAGCAAACCGTTTACTTAAGCCATCAGCAATGAGTTACTAAAATGTTCCGTTAGCGGCTCATGCTCTAGCGCAAATCGGTCCAGTTTTGCTCCATATTCCACCGGCAAGTAATTTATCACTTAATTTATTTACGGAATCTGGCGATGTTAACAAAGGCTTATTTGTAATTACGCTTATTGAAATTGCGCCCGTTTAAAGGACGCAACATTTGCTTCTTCCAGATAAATCAGTCATTAATTTACGAATTATTGTCAATAAATTAATTTTACTTTGTTAAATGTAATCATTGATTTTCTGCTAGTTTGTTGAAGATATCAGGCTGAACGGTCAGAGATTGTTAAGTGTGCGAGTTGTTGAATGTATAAAAATGTTCATTATGGGCGACGATTGATTGTCTTGCAACATGCTTCATTGGAGATTGTTTATTTTTATAGCGTTATTTTTCCAGAATTTTTTATTTTCTTCTCGCTCACTAAATTGCTAATTTTATCGGTAGAAACTGTTCATCGCTTCTTCACTTGCACTGCCGTATTTAGTTCACAGAAAGTCGTTTTTCATTTTTCTCTCAAAAACGAAACTACCGAGACCAAAAATGTTGACTTAACCCAAAAAAAACTAAATTTCAAAATAAGTCAGTGGGGCACAATTTTTCAGTCAATAATATTAATCAGGTACTCCTGGACGCCACTGGGTTTAGCAATTTTAGTCAATTTAGAGCAAACATTAGCGTCCGACTTCCATAAATACCACTGCCAAATTTCAAGAAAAAGATTTGGAAGTTATTCAGGAAAAACACAACATTTTAATGTTTTTGTTTTTCAGTTTTAATTTCAACAGCCTGTATGTTGAAAAGGCGACATTTCCCAACTATTCTGTACATATGGGCCATTTTCTGTCTTTTTCTGCCATTAGCTAATGGCCAAAATCGGCATTGAAACTCCGTTCTTTACTAATGTCGACTGGTCATGACGACACGAAGATCTGAATTAAGGGATGAACATACGTAAGCTCCGAGAAGTTAGTATGGGGGAAAACTGAGCAAATTTGGCCAAAGGGTAACTTTATCATGCGCATTATACTGTACAGATTGATTGAATCCCGATGCTTTAAGTTGAAAAATCGAAAAAAGCCACTGGTCGATTCATGTGTACAGGAGCTTTTGCCTATATTTGGCTGCAACAATCATTCAGACATTTTATACAGGGTGATTGAGAAATAAGCCGTTATTGGCCCGGACAATATTGCTTAGGCAGTTTCGATAACCGCAAATAAGACACAAAAAATCCAATAAATAATTTTAATATTCTTGCATAATTCCGCGAATTGCAACAATTTGATGAAAAATACGTTAAAACATGAAATTTCCGTTTCGCACTGGGGACAAGTAATAGAAAAAGAACGACAACTATGCG